AACGAATTATGGTAAAACAATGATAGTTTTCAAAAAGGATTTTTCCCGTATTTACCAATAATTTATTAATTTCTTCTTTCAATAGCTTCAGAATATCGATGATGTTCTGCAAAGAGGGACCGTATTGACCGAGCTCGATTCGAAGACACAGCACCTGCAAATTCTTTCGCAAAAATATAAAAAAGATGCCACATATTTGAACCGCAAAAGCATGTACGTCAAAGCAGCAGCGGCCGGAATTATTTTCTTAGTTTTCATTTTCTATTTTTGGATTTTGTAAAAAGAAAATTGCACGCTCAGAGGAGCCTTTAATGATTTATCATTCAAGAATATATGTTATTCAGATGTAAGAGGAAATACGAAAGCTTGATGGTTTTGGATCAGTTGATTGATAGTTTAAGTTTTCTGTTTGGAGTAATTTTTACAATCTCAGTTCTTGTTTTCAATACATAGAGCATTAAGTATGCTTTCCATTTGAGAGATTTGGGTTTGTTTGTTGTTTTTTCCATTTAGAAATTTAAATATATAAAAAAAAATATTAAAAAACAATGTAAGATCGAAAAAAAGTTAGTTTGAATCGATTTTTTGTGCAATCTTCAGTTCAAAAAGTCTTTCTGCGTTTGACAAAATATTATAATAATAATTATCATTTTTTATTCATCATTATCAATGTCTAATCATCATCATCATCATAATTATCATCCTTGAATTCAGTTCCATTCGAGAAGAGGAAATTCACTGGTTCCCGGCTATTGGTGGCTGTTTGTGAGCTTTCATCTACTACACTTTCTTGACTTCTTGAATACTGTTTCATTTGTGTTTTTGTTATCGTCGTGAAATAATGTTCTTTGTGTTTCCTAGTCTCTTCCATCACATCCTCTTCATTTATAAAGAAGGAGATAAAATAGTGGTTTATTTCAAGAATATTCGAAAAATGTTCATATTTCTTGTAGTTACCGCTGTTTATGATATCATACGTGTGGACATCTGAGGCAAAAACTACGTAAAAAACGGGATACTCTACAATATTTTTGCCTTTTAAATTCTCTTGGAGTGTTTTTGATGCATCCATTGTGAAGAATCTTTTCTTACTCTTCCGTGTTCCTTCTGCCTTTAGCAGTAGTATAACTTGATCTAAACCTTTTGATCGATAGCATCCAAGTGAGCTAATTGAGTCACTATTATCAAAATACTTTCCAATCAATTCGGTCATCAATTTTGACTCACAGCAACGCTCGTCAATGATAATTTTATTGTGGGCATTGATAAAGCGCCATTCAATACACCAATAGATAACCTTTGATGCCCAATCGTAGTAAGTTTTATTTGATTTATGCTTATCGAAATTTGGAAGCAGAAATTCTAGTTTGATTTGTCGTTCAACAGCAGCCTTTTTCAGTTTCATCAGAGGTACGGGAAGCGAGCGATCACTGGCCGTGTATCGCTTGATTCTGTCAGTCCGTCGAGCCGAAGTATAATTACTACAGGATTCCAAGAACACATAGTCATTCATTAAATCAGCCTCGGTGAGTTGTTTCAAAGGTATGTATTTAGTTTTATCACGAATCCCATCACAATCGAGTTCTTTTTTGTGTATACGTAAACACTCGATTTGGCACGTTTTGACCTCACATTTTGGACATGTATATTTGGCTGGATTTGAATTACAAACTTCACATTTTCCTAGTCTCCCCTTTGGATTTGTTCTGAAAGAAAGTCCAATGCGTGAAGTAATATGAAAAAAAATATATATATAGGAAAACTGTTTTGTAATTACATTGATTGTGATTCCATTTTTATTTCCTCTTTCTTGTTGAGCTCTCGGTTGTTTTTATCACTTTTCTTCAACGACATAACCTTATTTTCTATGAACATTGGCATTTTTTTGTACTGTCAGCGATGACAGTCAGTAGCTCAATATTTTCTGTTGCTCATTTAAGCATGTGTGTTCAAATGTCAGTATAAATAATAACTCAGTCAGTATATATATAAATGAGATTCGGTTGTTATGTGTACAAACAAAGTGCTAGATCAAAAAAAAATTCTTCAAATTTTTAACAAGAAACCACAATATCAAACCAACCAGAAATCAAGCGGATATAAATTGATATGAATTGTAGATTGTATATATAGACTTATAGACTATAGAATGTAATTATATTGAAATGAAAACAATTGAATATTGAACGTGACAGGTTCTCGTGAAATTTCTGTGTTGTATAAAACTTTTTCAGTCACTTTTCAATCGGAGTGTGGATCATATTATTTAGTTGTGTAATTAATTACACTTGCAAAATAAAACGAATTACATAGGTAATCCAAACTTTTCCGCTCCGCAGCAATTAAGTTTACCTCCCGCTTAATGTTTAACCAAAATTTCAATGGACCCTTTTTTCATAGCATTTTTGACCTTAAAATATAACTATTTCGACCATTTTCCATACAGAAGCGTCGTTTTCGAACAAAATTTCAAAAATTTCAAGAAATGTTGATTTCGGACCAAATTTATGGGCAAGTAGGGTTCGGTTGTTTGAAGGCTCCCATTATTTTTGAAAAAAAATATCAGTTT